CTGAATTCTACCTGATAGGTTCTTCTACTTCTACTACTACTACTACTACTACTACTACTACTACTACTAAGGGTTTCGGCTGGAGCCTCGTTGTCGAGTGAGGGCTGAGGGTTCATGGCGTGTGTGCTTCTCTGCTTCCTCCTTTGCTACTGGACGCTAATGACCGACAACAGTCCTGGGCTTACCATCCGGCCGCACGGGTCCCAACTCCCGTGGCCAGCTGCAGCGCGACGTAAAAAGAAGGAACAACGTCGGCTGGTAAACCCGAGGGTCGTATTCCGCCCCACAGCGGATACTGCAACCTCTTCGGGGGCGAAAAACACTGGAACAGGAGACGCATTGGCTGCTGTCCCTAATCAGGCTCGGAAAAGAGCCTTCAGGCGTGCAAGAAGGCGCGCCGAGGTCAACGGAATTACGCTTTACAGAGGACAATGGAGATCTGCACAATCGCTCGGCACCTGCCACATAGGACAGACGCCACCGGTCATTAGCCCAAGGGCTCCTGTCAGGCCAGAGCAAAGGCAAGCCAAGCCTCGCATAAGATGCCTTTCCTACAATATTGGGGGACTGGACCCTACGTCGTACGACGTGTTTTGCGACTGGCTTCAAGGTCAAGAAGATGCAGATGTAGTTTTTGTTCAGGAACTGCACTGGGGGTGTGGCAAGGATGAGGGCTCGTGGACCATTGGACGTTGGCAGGCCTACATCAGCCCCGATCCTCACAATCGCTACTGCGGCGTTGGCGTATTCATCTCGCCTAAAGTGGCGGAACCGGATCAGGTCGCTTTTCACAGTATTATCCCTGGCCGACTCCTACACGTGAGATGTACGAGACCGACAGTCACGCTGGACCTGGTAGCAGGTTATCAATGGGTATGGCAGGAAAAGAAGAAGGACACGATCACGAAGCAACGGCATCAATTCTGGACAAAGCTGGGGAAACTTTTGCATGCGCTACCAGTTCGCAACCTGCTTCTCATGGGCATGGATCTGAACTCTGGCATTAAACCGCTGCCTGGCTTAATCGGAAGGGAGGTCATGCACACCACACGGCACGCGGATACCGAACTAGAGGCCATTCTGCAGGTGCACCCTGGTGCTGCTGAACACGTGGGGTCAGGCAGCACCCCACCGCTGTCACACTTTCAGTAATAATGGCACTAAATCCCAACTTGACTTCGTCATCACCCGCAGGCTTACTGCAGACGCCGAAGCACGCACGGCTGCACCGTTGAATCTAGATCTCACGCCTTGGAGGCTAGGACCCAAGCACCGCCCGGTCCAAGCTAGCGTTCTGTGGATTGCAGGCTGGGCACGCGTCCGGAAATCTGCAGCGGTGAGTCGTTGCTGTGTCAAACAGCTACGGCAGGCAGCTGCACAAGGAGGTCCTGTCTCTGATGCCTTGCGGAATATGCTAAGCGCAGCCATAGGCCAAGACTGTCTGCGTAGTCTCAGCGAAGTTAACAGTCAGATCCTCAAGCTGTGTACCCCCTTGTTTCCCAGTAAGCCTGTCCCTAAAAGTAGGCCCGGCGAAAGCCCACAAGTCAAGAGCTGTATTGCGGACATGTGGCAACAGCATAGAATGCTGAAGCAGCTGACTGCCAGAATTGGTTCGGCTAACGTCTGGGGAGCTTGGAGGCAGCATGCCATGTTCAAGGCCAGTGTGCGTAGCCTACAGAAAGCCAGCAAGCAAGCCCGTAGAGATAGACTGGAGGGCCTCATACAACAAGCCGAGCATGCTGCCAAGCAACACAGTCCCTCGGAACTTTACCGGATCATCAATCAGATTGCCCCCAAGAAGCGACATGATCGCATTCGAGTTAGATCCGAAGACGGACGTCTACTGGACAAAAAGAAAGAATTTGAGGCTATCTTCACTTACTTTCAGAAAGCATTCAGTAGGCGGGACACCTTCGACTGCCCTCCTCTTCAGCCTCTAGGTATAGAACCTTCTGAAGTTCAAGAAGCGATCATGCAGCTTAAGAACAATAAAGCTGTGCCGGAGGGAAGTCTTCCTGCTGAGATGTGGAAGCTCTGCCCGGAGCTGTGTGCCGATTGGCTATCGCGCATCCTTGCCCAGAGCACGCAGCACAATAGTCTTCCTGCAGAGGTAGCAGACTGCACCCTTAGCTTGCTTCCTAAACCCAATAAACCCACCAGGTTGCCCAAGGATCTCAGGCCCCTTGGATTACAAGATCCAAGCGCTAAGGTATTAGCAATTGTGCTTCGTACGCGGCTACTGGCCATTGTACAAGATCGCCTTCGCGCCATCCCGCAATTTGCTTACTGCCCACAAAAGGCAATAGACCAAGCCATTAGCCGGGTTGCGCAGCACTGCGCGACAGTAAGGGAACTGGTTCGGCATAATACGGTTGCCACCCACGAGCGTCGGGAAGGACGGCAGCAGGCAGAGTGCAAGGGAGGCATCATGCTCAGCCTGGACTTGAGCAGAGCATTCGATTTGCTCAGTAGAGCTGCCTTGGACAAGTCCTTTACTGCCGCCAACGTTCCTGCCGAACTGCGCACAGCAACTATCCAGATCCACGAATCCTGCCGCTACACGGTCCGGCATGGATCACAGCAGGACCAATTTGCACTACAGGTTGGCGTTAGGCAAGGGTGTGCACTTTCGCCGCTGCTGTATGCACTGTACACAGCCTGGCTATATGAGCAGATTGCCCTAGAGACTGATCATCAGTGGGCGAGTCGTTTCTTGACCATCTTCGCAGACGATAAGCACCTTGCCTGGGAAATACATAGTCTTCCCGACCTGATGTTTGTCTGTAGATGCGTTCGGGTTACCTATCGCCTCCTAAAAGATAGTGGGATGCAAGTCAATCCCGAAAAATCCAAGATAGTGGTCGCACTCCGGGGCAGCTCTGCAGCTAGATGGATCAGACAGCATTCGCAGCAGACTACGGAAGGCATTTTTCTTGATCTGGGCACGCCGCATCAGCCTTTACGCATTGAGCAGGTGCAGCAGCTTGTCTACTTAGGTGTGGTTGCTAGCTACATTGGGTTTGAAATGCAAACTTTTCAACACAGACAGAAGGCCGCTGCACAGAACCGGCAACGTCTGTTAAAGGTTTTGCACTCCAGGCTGCTGTCACTGCCGCAACGGGTCCGTTTGTATCGCGCTTGTGTCGTCAGCTCACAGCTGTACGGCCTGCATGCGGTCGGACTGACTGCGCCGGTCCTGCGCGACCTAGAAGCTGCAGACGCACGTGCATTGCGGGCTATTGCGACATCACCTGCCCACATCTTTCATGAGTCTAACTTGCTGCTTAGGGCTAGGCTAAAGGTTGACTCCCCCAAGTCCCCCAAGGATACCCTGAAGAAGCTATTGGTCAAGCGCTGTGCACGAGTGTCTGATGACTGGCAGCGCAACTGGTTCGAACGCCAGCTTCAGGCTCTCGAGAACAGCTCGAGCACAGTGGATGTTTCCCTGCAAGTGCACCTTACCCCACAAGGCATCCCCGGAGTTCCGTGTCCTGAGTGTGGTGTTGTCTTCGTTAATCGTAGACATATGCTGTCACATGCTGCCAGAAAACACAAGTCTCAGGAGCCTGCCGGGACACCGCAGGAAACATCCAAAGACACGCGCAAGTCTGGAGTCTGGTACATGCAGCATGCTGTAATGGGCATGCCACACTGTCGACATTGTGACAAGAAGTTCACTAGGTTCGAAGGGTTCAAGAAACATCTCCGGCAAGCCTGTCCCATCCTACATGCCAATTGCCCCGTTGTCCCCAGTCAGCCCAAACAGTGTGACACGCTGCTGCAAACGGAGCACGCCGCCGAGCTGGTGGTCCAGGTAGCCTCAGCTCGGGAGGGGTCCGAAGGCCCGACCCCTCAGGCGTGCCCCGACGATGCAGAGCCGGCATCGTCCGTTAATGTCTCCGATGCGCTGCAGTATTGTGACAAGTTTAGGACCTTGTCGCTGAGCGGCTGGCGCAACGTCCTGAGGGACCAGGAATTCTGCAAAAGCCTGAGTACTTACTGCGTTCTTTGTGGTCAATGGGCTTCCCCAACAGGTTTCAAGCAGCACATCCGCCTCTGCCATCAGAACACACATGCAATTCATGCCCGAGCAGTTGCGCGATGCACACAGATTGGGCTCGCAGCTGTGTCCCCGTGTCGGTACTGCGGTGCTGTGGTGAAGCTGCCCTCCAGGCACCTCGCCGCTTGTCCAGCCGTTTATCAAGCCTCTCTGGCTCATCTGCTGTTTACCGTGGATGCTAAGGTCTCAGAAGATGGCGTCGATGGATGTGGAAGAGAACGACCGCGCGGCAGTGGCCCAGAGGGAGATGGCGGTCCTGGGGCTTCCAGGGGCGAATCCAACGCCGGGCGCGGCGTCCGGACAAGCAGAAGGCGACAGCTGGAAGAACTGGGAGAAGGAGAACAAGGGCTGGGGCGAGCAGGAGGGTCGCCAGAAGTGGCCCAGGAGCGAGGGGGGAAAAGGCCCAGGACGCTCCTATGGTGGCTGGCCAAAGCGGAAGACTCCCGAGCAGGAGGAGAAGGCGGCGTTGGACAAGCAAACCCAGGTCCTTCTGCAGCTCATGACGCGGATGACCCTCCGACACGAGAAGGAACTCTGCAGAATCAGAGTCGACACCAGTTTCGTAATGTTCTGCGATGTCGGCAACCACGGATGCCTTCCTCAGCTGAAGGCGACGGCAGAGAACTGGTCGGAGAAGTATGTGGCCCAGCAAGTTACAACGTCGCTCAGGGTCATCATGATGCTCACCCTAGTTCGAGCCCTTCGGGACAAGCTGGACAAGGTGACGGTGGACGACGAACTGGCGGGGAAGTACAAAACCCTCTCCTGGCTCACCGACGGCGCGAACGCAATGTCGCCCTGCTGGAACTATCTGGAGTGGAGCAGCTCGGAGAAGAAGGAGAATGTGTCGCAGACCACCCAGCCGATCAAGCACCAGGACGTCCTCAGCATCCTCGACAGGCTGGATCATTTCATTCCGCAGCCGGGCATCCTCACCGCCTTTCAGAACACCAAGGGCATGGACTCCCGCCAGGCAAGCGAGGTAGTGCCGTTCTTGATCAGCGTCGGCCTTCGTCAGGAGGGGACAGCGGAGGTACACGCAAGCCTGCAAAAACTATCCGGCTGCTCCTGTATGAAGCTAGTAGCATGCCGTTTGCGGCGACCGCGGTCAACGCCCACAGTTGGCCAAGAGCCTCGAAGAAGCCTTCATGGCGACGGAGTACTGCGATTGGTCCAATCGTCGCACACAGTAGAGGACCCAGGTCGGTCTTCTACATCTGGCGCGTCCAGGTCGACGCGCCAGGATGGTGATGTGGAGGCGCCGGCCTTACCAGCAGCTCGTCTGGTCAATCCAGATAATCTCTGTTACGCCAACTCAGTTCTCCAGGCATTCTATTGGGGAGGCGTCGTTACTCGTCGGCTCGCAGAGAGCTATGGTGCAGCGCAGGCTGGCGTGCACATACTCGCTAGATCAGGCAATCCCTATCTCCCACAATGCATGCCACTGCAAATCCTGTTCAGGGGGTGGCGCAATCTCCGCAGGCAGAATGATGCAGCTGAGTTCTATGCACATGTTGTAGAGGTAGCACAAGCCAGTATTTATGCCGGTGCCTGGGAAGCTCGCCTTGATAATCCACACACAGTTTCGGATGGAGGCACTTTGCAGAGCCCGGTGCTACTTCACTTCCCAGGCGCGGATCTCACAGCCCTGATACATGCGTGGCACCGGCAACATGCCATTCACGCACTGCGATTTCATTCAGGAGTTCTCACGCTGCAATTGTGTAGGTACATAGGCCTCCGCAAGAATCGACAGTCATTACCTATCACAGCAGGTGAGCGCATCAGCCTGCCCGTCTTTTCTGAGCCTCAGGGCACGGATGTGCGTTGGGAATCCTTCCGGGTTATATGGGTCATCTTTCATCTGGGTGCTACCGTCACGTCGGGACATTATCAGGCTGCCCTATGCCTGCAAGCTGGTGGTAATTGGGTCTACAAGATTTGTAATGACGCTAAGAGCCCTAAAGACCCCAACCTTAAGGAAACCCAGCACATAGCCCGGGATGGTTACCTGGTAGGACTCCTTCACATCCCTGCCAACAGCGAATAACAGTTGACCTAGCCGAGCAGCTTTTCTGCACAAGACGCAGCTGCTCGGTGATGCAAGCCACTTGGCACCCTGCCGAAGCGCACTGGTGCAACACCGGTACACAAATCTCGACTTGCTCTTTGCTTCATCTGCCACTGCGTTTGCTCTTGTACATATTCATGACACTCACTTTCTGTTCACTGTCAATAGCCAGTCGGATCAAGGCTCGGTGGTCTAGGTCGGCCAGCCGAGGGTGCCTAGGTCGGCACTTTGGCCTGTTTGCTACGCCAGAACCCCAGCATTGCCTGTGTGCCAGCTCATGCATGCTGTGTGTCCGCGCGCAGCCAGTTGCAGCCTCAGGAGTCCAGGTCGACTCCTGTTGTGCCTAGGTCGGCACCCACCCCGATGCCATTGCCCGTCTGCCTACCGCATGATGTGTATGCGGATCTTCTGGAAGACTATCTGCTGACATCCTGTTTTCAGCATCTTGCACTGCAGGAGGGTATTACGCCCCCCAGGCAGATTGGTATGCTGGCCCGCAATGATGTCTTCATGATCGCTCGCCAAACTCTGCACTCCGATCACTATGAGGCATTTGTGTCATATTCTCAGGAGCTTTCTGGACGGCTTGGCGCAAAAGTACCGGCTATCATGCCCATGCCGTTATCTGATCCTCGTCCCCAGTGTTCAATGGCTGAGTTTTTGGCCTGGAGTACGCTTGACTCCGGGGGAGGTTCTCTCTGGGAATCGTACGCCAGACTGCAGTTGCTCTACGCTATGAAGCACCGCGACAGCGCATGATGCACGATGACGTCGAAGCCTCCAGTTTTCACTTGGGAGTGTGTGCCAGGGGTGCACTAGTGGGCATTTGCAAGGACACCTTGCAGCACAAGCACGTTTGCAGGCTACTATGCTTTTTCGTGCAGCATGTTTGTCCCGGGCATCGCTACACTTCCATTGCAGTGAATCGCAACTACCAGACCCCGCCACACAGGGACCTGCAGAACGGGCCAGAGGAAAACCTCATCCTCAGCCTGAGTCTTCATGACGAAGGTGGTTTGTGGGTGGAAACAATAGACGGCAGTGCGTATCAAGACATTGAGGGCAAGCTGGTGCGGGGAGAAAACTTTGCGCTCCACGCGCAGGCACTTCTTTTTCCAGCTCACCGCTGCTGGCATGCTAGCTTGCCCTGGGATGACAGGGATCGGTACACTATGGTGGCGTACACGGTGCGAAACTGGCCGAGACTGCGGCAAGAAGCGTGTTCCCAGCTGGAAGAGCTTGGATTCTATCTCCCTGATAGCCCGCAAACTGAGCGCGCTGAGCCGGCCTTACTGCCGACTGTACTAATTTCCCCCTGTGCCTCTTAATCCCTACCCCGTACACTGTCTTGAGTGCAGTTAGGATTGCTCGTTGTTGCACATCTCGAGCTTAAAGATAGGCTGTTCCTGCCATGCACTAGCATCACTAGCATTGCGCGAAGCCGCATAATGCAAGAGCACAAAATCGGCCTGTCGTGATGCAGATCACATGCACCACTGCTTGTTACACGGATGCCGCATATGACACTCGTCTGCTCAGGTCTGCATGGCGGCTGCTTCATCTTCGTGGAGCGGACCCAATATGGGGACCGGGCAGGGTGGCGGTAGCTCGGGCCCTGGGAATCATGCGCCTCCTGAGCCCACTCATCAGCGAGGGCGACACTGTCGCACTACAGGGTGCGGCAGGTTCTTCCAGGAGCTCAACCACCGACATTGCTGCTCTACATGTCCGTATGGTTTTCACTCGCGCCGATGCAATGCGCAACAACGCAGGTTCCAGAGGACTGCTATCACCCGTTGTGAGCAACCAGGGTGTGGGAGGCATGCAGGGTTTGCACACTCCACCTGTTGCGTCAAGGACGCTCTCACACATTCAGCTGTTCTGTGCGACAGCAAGACTACTCCCATGCTGCCGCGGCCTCGATTCACAACGCAGGGGTAGCAGTGGGCCCCACTGGGGCTACCGGCTCTTGCTTGAGCACCCATTCGGCCGCTGACGCATCTGGTGGGACTGTGTCTGGAACGCGAATGTATGCATCAACGACGGTTTCGGGCAATACCTGCACCGTCGTCGAGATTGCTAGCTCAAGCTCGGAGGACGAGGAGAGCTCTCGTGTCGACAATCCTGCTGCTACTGAGGGAAGCAGTCAAGTGAGTGGTCGTTTTTCCGGTGATCTTTCGGAGATGGACTGAGCCGTTGAAGTCGAGATGGAAGGATGATTAGGAAGTAGCCTCTGCTTTAGAGGTTGTGTGAAATCGCACAGCTGCC